GGGAGGGTAGGTGGTGCAGGAAAAAAAATATAAAATTTAAAGTGGAGAGGGGGGAAGGCAGAGTGGGTGGATGGTGCAGAAAAACAAAAGAACATAAAATTGAAAATACAAAATAAAATAAAATTGGGGCAACTAAATAAATTTCTATATAAATTAGGTTGAGATACCTTTTGTTTTGGGTGAGTTTTATGGGTTGTATTTGGGCTGCTAAATGGGTCAGAATGGGCTATAAAATATAATGGGTTAGCTTGGGCTCAGCCCAAATTGACCCATGAGCTAAAATATTTGTAACCCAACCCATTAATTTCTGGGCGGGTTGGGCGGTTTAGATGTGTTTGGGCTCAAATTGCCACCCCTAATCATCTTACAGGAAAATGGATTTGTAAGAACGATATTTGAACTTGCTCCGTGAATATGGACATCGTGGAGGAGCTCGTGCTTGCTTGAATTTCTATCGGCCGATTGGAGTTGGGAGTGGCAAACGACCGGGTCGGGTTGGATATGGTTCGGGTTGAAAACGGGTAATGAAAAAACGGATAAATTATCTAACCCGACCCATATTTAATACGGATTGAAAACGGATTAACTGGCGGATAATATGGATAACGATATTATCAATGACTTCTTGCATGAGATCACTTTTGGGAGAATTATTAGTCTCCCTAACTTGAGGAACCCTTAATTTGAGGCTTTACAAAGGTAAAAGTTAGACTCATTAATTACCCATTGGTTATCCATTTTCTACATGGATGATATGATTCTTATTCATATTTGACCCACTTTTAAAATATTCATTATCCAACCCATTTTTAGTGAATAATATGGGCGGATAACTATTTTTGTTAACCATTTTGCCACCCATTTGGAGAGTTTAATTGCAGTTCCACCTACGCGAAAAGTGCAATTTGGTATCAACTTGGATTCATCGTAGCCAAAGTAGCACCACTTGGACAGCGCTGAACCATTCTATGACTATTTTGAACCACCAAAGTCAACTTGACTTTATAAATAAAACGCATTTTTCAATACTTTAAAAGCTTTACACTTTGATTTTATTCTAGTTCCATTAACTGTTGTTTATGCTATCCAAGTCTGTGTCACTATTTTGAAGTGTATTAAGGGATATGAGATATACAAGAGACGAGATATTCGACGATAACAGTTAACCTTGTACGGTTGTACCCAGGGGCGGCTCAATATTGTTGGTGGCCTAAAGCCAAATCTTGATGAGGGGCCTTATAAAACTTTTTTTTTGATATATTTTTAATTTAAGTCTATTTTCCTCACTTTTTGAGATGCAATATTTTGTTTATAACTCAAGTTATTCTAATAATTCTTTTTTGCTTGATAATATAATTAATCCATTTTAACGTTTTTTGAGATATTGTTGAT